AGAGCCGCTGGAAAACAGCCTTTCTAAAGAATGCAATTATCAAGGAAGCTACGTTAGCGCGTTACCCAGACTCATTGGACCCCTCACCCTTCCGTCGCACTCTCTGCAATCCCACAAAGGCGAGGCCGGAGGTTAGGCAGATGGCTTGGCAGGTGGTCAACGCTACTTTGCATACCGCGCCTATTCTTTTTTGCGCTCACTAACCCTGCAAACTCTGCACTCGAGCGCACTTCCTGCGATCTCGCGCTATGTCTGCGTTTCGCAAATCGTTACGCTCTCGCGCTACCGCAAACTTCGACATGGCTACGAGTCCGCAATATGGTAGCATCTGCATGGAGACCTAATTCGATTGTGTTAATAATTATAAGAGGCCGAGATTGTCGCATCTGCGTGCTGCCACGCATACTCAACTCCTAAAGCGAGGAAAGAACTTGAAGCGCATGCACATATAGCAAGAACTGGGAGAGAAGGGGTACGGTAAGTGAACAATTGCACTGAATTTACAGAATAGAGGAGATCAAAGTGATATTCGGAATTTCTGCTTACCAACAATGTTACACACAAAGGCAAGACGAGATAATGATGATGATGATGATGATGAGATGATGATGATGATCCATGTAATCCTAGACGAAAGCACCTTTTGGCGCCTGAAGTTGAGCTAGGAAAAATTGAGCCAACATCTGCTGATTGAACATTGGTGGATACGGTAGAACCGGTTGTTTCGGAGGTAACATAGCTTCGGGCAGCATCAGCGGCTCACTGTTTGTGGTCGTCGCTGTTGGCGGGACAGCCGCATCCGATGAGGCCAAGCTGGTAGGTAGGGTAACTGCTGCTGAAGTTACCGGAACAGCTGGAGGAGTAGGAGATGTCGTCTTGTTCGGCGAGATTGGAGTTTCAGCTGCACGAGCTGCAGCTGCAGAAGCCGTAAGTTGTACCAAAGCTTCCATCATCGATCTGGTAGGAGAAATATGTTGTTGAAGATAAACAAACATAAAACTTTGAGCAATTTTGGGAAGATCCAAGCTTTTTCGGA